GGAAATGAATACTTCGGCTCCTCCACCGCCACCTTCAAAAACACATGAAAGTAACGATTTCTGTCAGTTCCCGAAACAGCAATCTACCAGTGGAGATCATAGTCCATCAATGCCGACGCCTCCTGCACCACCGGGTAGCGGAAGATCCTTGCGTGCCAAGAAAGCAACTAGTAAACTGAGAAGATCAGCACAAATTGCTAATCTTTATTGGGTTCTCAAAGGAAAGCTTGAAGGCCGTGGCGTCGAAGGGAAAACAACAAAATCAAGTAAAGGGCAGAACAATGTTGCGGAGAAATCTCCTGTTAAAGGCGCAAGATCAGGAATGGCTGATGCACTTGCAGAGATGACAAAGAGGTAAGTAAATGACTTGTGTCACAAGTTATATCTATATGTTTTGAGTTTTTAACTCTTTGATTTGTGTTACAGGTCCAGTTATTTCCAGCAAATCGAAGAAGATGTTCAGAAATACGCGAAATCAATCGAAGAATTGAAATCTTCCATACATAGTTTCCAGACAAAAGACATGAAAGAATTGCTTGAATTTCATAGCAAAGTAGAATCTGTTCTTGAGAAACTAACTGATGAGACTCAAGTATGTTTTTCTCCTTTGTTTTTGAATGGCCTCGCGGTTTCTCTCGATATCTTTGTATAATATAACCCTGTCTTTTGATTGTTTAGGTTCTTGCGAGGTTTGAAGGTTTCCCTGAGAAGAAACTAGAAGCAATAAGAACAGCTGGTGCCTTGTACAAGAAGTTAGATGGGATTCTAACTGAGCTCAAGAACTGGAAAATCGAGCCTCCATTAAACGATCTCCTCGACAAGATAGAACGTTACTTCAACAAAGTTAAAGGAGAGATCGAAACTGTTGACCGAACAAAAGACGAGGAAGCTAAATTGTTTCATAGATACAAGATTAACATTGATTTCGAAGTTCTTGTTCAAGTCAAAGAAACTATGGTTGATGTTTCATCAAATTGCATGGAGTTAGCACTAAAGGTATATACATAAATCAAGAATTTTCTCCTCGGCGATAAAACTGACTTTCACTCTTATGACTTTTCAGG